ATCATCAATAGTGACGGCTGTTTTCCATGTGCGTTATCAGTGTTTTGTAGCACTTGCTTTCACAGAGATCTTCCACAATGACAGCAGCAATGTGTTTGTCACTGATAATCAATGCGGCGCTGATAATCAATCAGGATCCTCTGTTGACATCAGTCACTATTCTCATGTGTGGAGACGCATACTTCAGCCATTGATATCGCTGCACTGTGAAGTAAAGCAAAACCATTCCCTTCTGGATTCCATTCATGGGACATTTTTCATATTTTTTGCAACCTAAAATGGTTTGTGTTAGCTTTTCATAAAATATGCAGTTATTTGAAAAATGCACACACTCAAAAAAATGATATGTTGGCGTTAATTAACTTTTTTTTGTCCACTGGTTCCACGTAACCGAGTTAAGTTACCTTCAAGAAAGAATATTAATTTTAGTGAACTTAAGTTAGTTACATAAAGGTAATGTAATGTTGTTTAGTTCAATCAACGTAACATTTATAATTTAGCTTTAATCTATGTAGTTATTTAAGTTCAATTATTCTAAAATTGATATTGTTATGTTTAACCAAATAAAAAAACATTTTCCGTTTCATTGAGTTTATTCAATAGCATTTTTACAGATTTACACATTTTCCAGCAATAAAATGATTGTCAAAATCCAAATACTGTCTTTATCTGTATCTTCACTTTTTACAATAAGTTAAAATATTAATACTATTAAAATAATAGTAATACAAGTATGAAATAAATTGAAAACAATAAATGATTTAAAAAATATGCTTACAAAAACATAATAAAATACACTTTTCAAAATAATACTTTTCATATATTACAAAAAACATTTAAAAATAATATTCTGCCTTTAAATGATTTATCAAAAATATACTTAGAAAAATTAAGTCTTCTTTTGTAAACTATACTGTAACCTTCTTTACACTGAAAAAGTAGATAACACTTCAGTTGTTCAAAGAAAGATTAACATTTTAAAGCAAAGTAACACGATCAGCACTACACCATAAATTAGATCAACCATCACAGAACATGCAATAGCTACACACATTCATCTCTCTGACACTTGCACCATTTATGCACATTTGCACCAGACACTTTCTTACAACCACTCCCTATATCTAAAAAACAAAACATTGTGCATGAAGTCTGCTTCACACAGGTGTGTGGGCTTGACAAACCACATGTAGAAGCATTCTTAATTCTTAAAATTTTTTGTATAATTAGCACATCTTGGGTGTATCGCCTCTTCTTGTTGATTTGCTGAATGTGTCCTCAATTGTAAGTCACTTTAGACAAAAGAGTCTGCTAAATGTTAATGTAACTGTAGATTCATAAGGTGGTGTTGCACATCAAGGTTTGCGCTTAATCATGCCCAGCATCCTAAAAAAGTCAGGTAAAAAAATTTAAATTTACCAACAGATCAAAGGAGAAAGGAGGAATTGGTTTAAGAGGAAAATACAAAATGTTTTAAAAAATAAAATAAAATAGCTTACCATGTACTCCCTCACTTAGGGGCTTTGAGGATACATTCACACCTTTTTTCCACTGGTGATGTTCTAAATAACATGAAATGACAATTAGTAATTTACTAAATAATTAGTAGTTAAAATTACTAGTAATTTTTACTGTACATCATTTTAATGTGTGTATAGGCATCTAAAAGCATAGTACCTGGATGATCCACAGTCTCCTCAGCCAGATATGGGACTTTAGAGGTTGAGCTGTAAACCTGTGAGGGAGAAAATAGATGTGAGTGAGCAAAGATTTAAAATAATAAAATATAATAATATAAATAGCAAACTACTAAACTTAAAAATTTAAACGTGTTAGATGCCCAAACAAATAAGCTTACATTAAATATGTCATCATGCTAGATGCCATCCTATTTAAGTGTCACATATGCTTGTCAAGATTTTTTTTTAAGTTAACAGGCTTGAATACAATTAGATAATAAATAACAATGTGCCAACACCATATTTTAATTAATATTATGTAAGTTATCAAAACTGGCATTCAAACTCGACAAACCGCTTGACACTCATTTAAAATAAAGACTATCAAATCAAATAAAAAATCAAATCACTTTTATTGTCACATTATCAGCAGCACGTGTGCTATGATGAGTGAAAAGCTTAGACTATTCTAACATGACTATTCCTTACTACCAACGTTTGCAACTTTATTTTGGGGGAGTTAATATATACTAAGTATAAAATTTCACAGGAATGCAAAACAAACTATACATTTATCTGTCTATAATGTGGAAAAGACACAGGGAACATGGCAATTTCATAGCAATACTATACACAAACACAACATAGTATTACAAGAGAGTACATTTATGATTCAAATGTTGTCACAGCCTCAGTATAAATACATAAAAAGTAAAAAAAAATCTCACCTGTGTGTCCACATTGGGGAAAGCTTTGTGCACGTTCGCAATTTGTACTGTAATCTTCATCTTTTGATTCCCATAATATGGCGCCGAGCTGAGAGTGATCGTTGTGGTTTGAATCTTCTTACTTCCTGTGTTGTTTTGAAACTGCGCATGTGCAGATATTACTCCACCTATTGACCAAAATGCAGTACTGCAGAAGCAACACAACTCCCTTTCATTCATGTTACATAAGTGAGCTGTTTAAATGTGAAAACTTACTTTTTCTAATTTTTTCCAACACAACACTTTTATTTTTAATACACAAACATAAGTGAATTGTTTAATTTAAACATAGTTACATTCTTTGAACCAACTAAAGCCATAATTCATTTTTTTGAGTGCAGGCAACAATCTTGTAAAATTGTTTTGGGGTTTGTTATTTATATAAACAAAACTCTGTTGTAAATGAAGGGTTACTTTTTAACCCTAAAAGCCTACTGTGTCGTGTTCAATATATGACGAATGAACAAAAATTTGCAAAATATTTTGAAATGGCATTAGCAAAATCATTGGCGTGTATGTTAACAAATTAGCAAATAAGATTAATTTGTTCAGTAAATTAGTACTGAAGGCCTCCTGCACTGCATTATGTTTTGTCCACCACAATAAAAATGAGCTTTCATCATAAAACTAAGCCTTTCATCTTACTAGAGAGCAAATGCATTATATTTATATGCATTATTAATAAGTAGTCTGCTATATCAGTGTAAAAACATAATCAATTTTTAAAACCATATAAATGTAGACATACAGTATAAACACTTAGTAAACACTGTGCTGTTTTTTTATTATTTGTTTGTTTTCAAATTCTTGACAATTACTATATAGGTCTGATTTATCAGCTGGAAAAATAATGAATCCTTATATTTTTTGCTGTGTTGGAAGCTACATTAAAATCTTCCTCGAATCTGCAGCAAGCAGTTCAAAAAAGCGAGCTCCTGCCAATTTTGTGGCATTTCGTTCACTTGATTATGTTCAATTCTTCTCTTTTATGATGCTTATGGGAATTTTAGGATGATGTGGGCATTTCCTTGCTTGTTTCTAAAGCAAATATGTGGAAAATGGATGCTGAATGGGCAGTTAAACGTTTCTTGGAAGGAATTGGACTGCAGCTGTCTTTTTCAGGCCTCTTGTTTTAGTTGCCTCTGATAACTTATGATGTTGCACTTTGGCGCCATCTAACGATTGACCTTTTTTAACGCTTTGAGAGTGCAGGGCTGTTATGGTTAATCAAAACTCAAATTTGGACCATTACGTTGTACATTTTGTTGAGAATTTTCATTTATACTTGGGGAGAAAAACACAACAAGTCTATAAACTTGCAAGGTTATGCATTATATCCATTATAGTTATCGACCATTATAGTTATATTCTACTATTATAATGTGTGTGTGTGTGTGTGTGTGTGTGTGTGTGTGTGTGTGTGTGTGTGTGTGTGTGTGTGTGTGTGTGTGTGTGTGTGTGTGTGTGTGTGTGTGTGCGTAAATATATGTATACAAATATGCACTACTTTTTTATTGCAATGACAACAGGCCATTACAACAAATAGAAATACAAAGACTGATAGAAGTATAGTACAAGCAATACAAATATTACTTTTTGCAGCAAGAGAAATGTAACAATTTTAAAATGAATGTAAAATGGTAAAGCAAAAGAAAGACAAAGAGAGAGAAAAAGAAACAAACAAAAAAAAAATAAGGGAACATGACAAAAATAAAACAAATTAATAGAGAATATTAAATAAAGCACATTTGCCTAAACACATTTGCCATATACACATTTGTATAAAAAAATAAATAAATAAAATGATATGCAAAAAGTTAAATTAAGGAATTGTTTTTCTTTTAATATAAAACCCTAAAACAGCATGTCTATAGCTTAAAGAAAAATCACCACAAACCTTTTGGACAATTAGAGAATTCACATCAGACCAGAAAGATTTGACAAAGGGACATTCCCAAAACAAGTGAGCAATAGATCCGGAAGAAATCTCACAGAAAGAGCAATACACGCCAATGTCATTTTTGAATTTTTGTAAAAATTGCTTAACTGGATAAAATCTGTGAATAATTAGCGTGTACTTCTTCAAAATTCTTCTATATCAAAGATCCACTAGATGGCGCCACACACAACATGTCAAAAATGAAAATCACTTTATTAAAAGTAACCACAGAGCTACTAAACATAGACTAAACATAAAAGTCCTCTGATGTCTAAAAGCATCCCTTTCTGGGGTCAAATCAGTTGAGACTTGAAGGAATAATGCCCTGACAGCAATGATAACTTCCCATGACTGAATTCCTCCACATAATTAATGTCAACTTGAAGTTTCATTTCTGTAGCCTCTGGCTCTAGTTAGCTTCATTCAGATCGCAGTTTCATCGCCACCAGCTCGTCTAAAATGTTTCCCAAATCTCCAGCGCCTATACTGACACAGACATTTACACATGACCCAATCTAAACCTTTTGCTTTTTAGAGGCGCTGAAAGAGTGTTGTCAGGCTGTTTGACTGTGTTGTTCATGGCTGTCAGTGACTGTGTTTGTATCTGTCCTCCAGACTGCAGCTACACATGTCATCTGGAGTGTCAGGGACTCGTTCAGCTGGACTGCAACCAACTAGAGAGGCGGACAGAGGATGTGTCTGACCCTAATCTACAGCGCCCCTGTGCCAGAGACCCTCAGGAGACCGTGAGTTCACTCGCTTGCCCATCCCTGCTTTATAAGACACAGCTTCTCACTATCGACTTATTAAACGTATACAGTTCACCTAAAAATAAAAGATGACTCACTATTTACTCACCCTCAAATGGTTTCAAACTTTGAGGTCTTCTTTATTCTGTTGAATGATAAAATAAGTTATTTGGAAGAAAGCTGGAAACCTGTAACCATAGAGTTCCATAGTAAGAAAAACAAATACTATGGAAGTCTATGGTTACAGGTTACCAAGTTTTCTCTTTTGTGTTCAATAAAAGCAAGAAACTCATAAAGGTGAGAAACAAATGAGATGAGTAAATGATGACAGAATTTTCATTTTTTGGGTGAACTATCCCTTTAAGCTGCTACTGTCCATTTAAGATGTGACTATGGTTACTTGGTTACTGCATCTATTCTTTTGAATTGAGAAAACTCTCTGAATATCACACAGTAAAGTGGATCTTTTACAAAGTAATGGTGTTCAGTAGACTGTATGTTGTGTGCCAGTATTATAACCATTTGTAAAATATGAATCCCTCTGATTATCTGAGATCAGGCATCAGGGTGGGAAATGGGGTCAGCTTTTTTTTGGTTTGTGTAATACATGCTTCAATAAACCAAATGTATATATTTAATTCAGTTACATCTAATTTATTAATCAATTTGTCAGTGTATTCAGGGATACTGAGTGTATTCTGACCTATAGTAACCTCAGATTAGCTATTTCAGAAGATGTTTGTATTGTTTATGTAAAATAAACAGTGACAAGTTTGCATCCCTTCACAAATAAATGGATTAAAAGATTGCACTTATTATTTTATAGTTTATGAGCAGATGCCAATTAAAATACAAATTCTTCATTTAATACTTTTAGGCTATATATAGATACAAAAACCTATTTTAAAAGAAAAACATCTTGTGTACACTTAAGTGTCTATTGGTGTTCTAAATCTGCTAGTTTTTGACTGCTAAATGAAATTTTAACTTGCAGTTAAACACTCACAATAGTTTGAACTGTTATAGTAGTTAGCACTGTTGCCTCACAGCAAGAAGGTTGCTGGTTAGAGTACCAGCTGGGCCAGTTGGCATTTCATTTTAAGCCTGCTCGGCTAGACTACTCGACAGCTTCTTCCCTCAGGCTGTTGGAGTCCTCATCCCCAGTTACTTTACCCCCCTCTGAAAATCCCCCCATGCATTCCTGAGAATCAAACAACAAACCACCTGTAGGAAAAACATCCTCCCATCTTTCTGACTTGTGCACCGGGTTGCACATTTTCACTATAGACACTTTCTTATTCACTCCATGTCTCTTGGAAACATTGTACATTTCAATTGTGCTTCATTCAGTTGAGTGGGCTTGATAAACCACCTCTACAAACCCTTTTCTCTCTTATGCATTTAACACTTTATCTAAACTCCATCTAATCCTCCAGTTTTCCCTACAGTCCAAAGACATGCAGTATAGGAGAATAGATTAACTAAATTGGCTGTAGTGAGTGCATGTGAATGTGAGTGTATTGGGGGTTTCCCAGTACTGGGTTGTGGCTGCAAGGGTATCCGCTGTGTAAAACATGCCGGAACAGTTGAATTATTTAAATTATTAACATCACTATTTAATATACAGATACAGAGCAATTTTTCAAAGGGCTGCCCCCTCCATACATCTCATTTTAATGTCCTTCATGAGTGTTCAAGCTTAATTAACCCTCCTGTAATTCGCACCCTGTCATGCATTTATATAAACATTACAATCATGATTTTCAATAGCATTACTGCAGACTGTGAGTGTATATTATGCCACCTAATAGAGCATTTTGACCCAGAAACTGTGACGCATGACATCAGACTTACCAAACGGATAGAGAAACACAAGGAGAGCATCTCGAAAGGTAATTCGTCTGGTGAAGCAAAAAATGGGTCACAGGCCTGTTTTAATAGGATAACAGAGAGTGTGTTATTGTGCAAAGCTAGGAAAGCAAAAATAATTGAATTAAAGAGATAGTCCATCCAAAAACCTAACTCATTTACTCATCCTCCACTTGTTCCAAACCCATTTAACTTTATTTCTTTGGTTGAACAAAAAATAAGTATACCTAAGAATATCTTGTTTTGTGTTCAACAGAAGAAATAAATTCATACATTTTTAGAACCACTTGAGTGTGAGTAAATGCTAAGTAAATAAAAAAAATTACATAAACATTTGGGTGAATTATCCCTGTAACCTCTTCCAAATATCTGATACATATCCTAAAGCATGACTATTTTAAATTTTATCTCACAATTTTTATTTATTTATTTATTTATAATAGTAAATATATAATATATAGTAATGAATTTATAACAGTAACTGACATATACCGTAGTAGAAAATTATACTATCTTGCTTTTGTACTATATTCCCTTTTGAGGCACTTTTTGATGATTGCTGTAGGTGAAGCATGTAGAGTGCTTTCCAGATTTTTGAAAGAGAGCATGAAATTATGCAGCAAGATGCGAGGGATGAAGCGTAAACTGGATCTGATCCTCTCTGGGTCGCTTTGCTGGGACACATTAGCACATGCTTAACTGCCTCTCTGATGCTTGGCTGCGTTTCTGCAGTCTAGTCCAGGTACACAGGAAGTGACAGCACAGTTGGGAATGAGAAAGAGCAGCGGGAGTCTGCAGAGGGCAAACTGTCCTCAGCAACACGCACAAGAAGATATAAAAAGTTTTAGAGGAACCCATGACCTCAATCCATACCAGGCTATGAGGACATCTAATAAACACTGTTTGGTCACCTTTAGAATTATAAATTATTCACATATTATTCTTTGATCATTTGCAAAAAAAAATCTTCTTAAGGTTTCAAAGACTTAAAGGCACAATATGTTCGACTTTTAAAAATGTAAATATTAAAAATCTTATGTACTTATGTAGATCTGTGTGCTTACATTATCCCAAATGTTTTGAACAAACTACATTTTAACTAATCACGCGGACCATATTCTTTGGCTTCATGCTAATGACATCATACACCCTCAATTTCTGGCTTGATTTTCTAGAAAACAGGGAAGCACAACTATGTTTTAATGTGTTTTTCTGCACAGATCCGCATTATAACAGAACCATAAAATGTATTTAGTATGATGAAAAAGAGCTATTTATTCCCCACATGGTCACAACTGGAAAAAACAGAAATGATCGAAAGTGGCATAATAAAAGCTCTGCAGCTCTCAGCCTTACTCTGCTTCATACTACCCTGATAATAGGTTTTGAATGCTAATACATGAACATGATTTCTGCAGGAGTCCAGTAGGATGTAATGAAGTCCAGAACTCCCATGATTCCACACTCACTCACAGCATCATCAAACAACACCTTTGTTTGTTGTAAATGTGCCGTCTAGGAGCAAGAATTTGCATACTGTGCCATTAAACTGTCTTATATTTAGCTTAAAGTGGCTAATCATTTTGACCTTAAAATGGTTTTTAAAAAATGTATAACTACTTTTTATTCTAGCCAAAATAAAACAAATAAGACTTTTTTTCCATAAGAAAAAATATTATCAGTCATACTGTGAACATTTCCTTGCTCTGTTAAACATCATTTGGGGGACTAATAATTCTGACTTCAACTGTTTATAGTAGATTTTATTTAAATAGAAATAATCTATTAAAATTACTACTTCAATAAATATATTATGAAATAAAACCACCTTATTCCTAGCAGGTTTTATTATTTTTTAAGATTTATAATTAGAAGGTTCTATCTGTGGTCGACCTGTTGCAAAAAAATCACTATAACATACTTGAAACATATACATTCAGGGTCACGTATTCCCCATATCACATTTCTGCTGTATAGATAGCAAATCCTTTAAAACTCAATATCTCAAACCCGTTCATAATGGAGACAGAACCTTATAATTCCAAGGTGACAATTTTCCTCCAGAGTGTTTATATTGTCAGAATAGTCATTAGAGAAAAAAGCCCTTCTGTCCCTTGTAGACTCTGTGTATTCGTCTTGTTTATGTGGCCTCTCCTGTCTATTCCTGTCTCCTCTAAATGAGGAAAAGAGCAAACCCAGCTGTCCGGCGCTGTCACACAGATGGAGAGTTGCTGAATGCTGAGCTGTCAGCAGAGGGCATTATGCTTGTTTCTCAACGGAAATGAATTTCACATTAGTGGCCTCCTCGTATTCATCTTGGGAACTGCAGATTATATCACTGATTTGATGCAGCTTTTAGAATAAGGGATAAGTTTTAACTATAGCAAACACAACTTTTTGTTATTTTACACTTCAACACACCGGGCATATAAATCAGGCAAAATCATTTGTGCGCAGAATGATTAGCATGCAAATGACTGCCCTGCGTCTTTTGCAACATAAAACAAATGAAACATGCCTAGGGCAAACACTGAAGGTTAATAACTAATTATTATCACAGTACTACCAAGTTGATTAATTTAGGAATTATAAAAAAAAAAAAATTTAAAAGGTTATGTTTAAATATGCAAATGAGAACTTATTTCATCAAATATGCAGTAAATTGCTTACACTTCTAACACTACAATTTGAACACTGGATAAAGTCAGTTTCAAAAGTATTGTTTTTTATTTATTTAGTCATTTTTTTTTTACATATTAGTCAAAGATTTTTATAGGGGATTTAGGAAATCTCTTTTCATCACTCCAGAATTCAGAAAATGTTGAGAACAGCCAGTAAAAAAGTTAATATGTATGAATATAATATTTGTATATTTTATTGAATAGAATAAAATTAATTCATTTATTTTCTTGTTGGCTTAGTCCCTTTATTAATCTGGGGTCACCACAGCGGAATGAACCGCTAACTTATCAGCACGTTTTTACACAGTGGATGCCCTTCCAGCCGCAACCCATCTCTCAGAAACATCCACACACTCATTCATACACACACTCATATACTACGGACAATTTAGCCTACCCAATTTACCTGTACCGCATGTCTTTAGACTGTGGGGGAAACCGGAGCACCCGGAGGAAACCCACGCAAATGCAGAGAGAACATGCAAACTCCACACAGAAATGCCAACTGAGCCA